AGCCTCAACCCAGCCTCCAATCCTGTGGGCATAATTCTGTGTCCGCAAATAACTCTGGGCACATATGTCCAAATTTAGACAGCTAACCATCTGATTTGCGGGTACAATCAGGTAAATGTCTAAATGCTTTCATCTGCAACCACAAAAGTGGAGGCCATTTCTGGAAAAACAACAACAACAGGCCCTAAAGGTCACTGACAAACCCCAGGAAATCCTGTGGAAAGGCTGTCTTGGCACTCCAGTGCAGCCACACAGCCCTGACTCTGATAAAAACCCAAAGCGACTGCAAAGCCACGACACAATGGGGCTGAAGGAATAACAGAAAGACTATCTGAACTCAGAATTTCCTTGGTTTCCTTGTCACACATCACTCCAGTAGCATCAAGAACGCATTTCTGATATAAACATATTTAATAAACAGCAGCACTTACCACAAAATGGAGGATTTACATTTAAGCTCCTATACCCTGCTTTTCACTATACTATTGGGAGATCTCACAAGTACCAGTGTCACTTCCACATCCCGCAAAGTAGCTAATGGGATTTACCCAGCGTTCAGCAACTCCAAAGGGTTAAAAATACAGGCACACAGTGAAGGCAGATCCGAACCTTAGTTTTGAAATGGCTAACAAAATGCTGAGGTGCACTTTAAAGAGGCCTCACTGCACTATTCTATATTAGGCCTTTTTTTGTTTCGTGTTAAAAAAAAAACACAAACAAAACATAAACCTGATATGTGGGAAGATGTTCTAAGTTCAGAAAGATCATTATAAATATTTCAATCAGTTATTTTTTTCCCAGGGGTGGGAGGAAGGAGGGCAAAGAATACAAGGTGTTTATATTAGGGTCACATTGAACATAGTGGCAGATTGAGACAGGCTCTTTGGAGCAATGGGATCCAGCCCCCCCCCATAAACTGGAACCACATGGATTCCAAGGATCTGTTGTCAGTGGCATGGGAGCAGCTGCTCAGTCTGGAGACCTGATGGCCTCTGTACCAAATGAACTTGCACGTGCTACATTCCACTCCTCCTGCCAAAGGGTAACTCCAAGCACTAAGTACTGATCAGCAAATTGCAGCAAAAACACCTGGGGGGTGTTTTGAAGCCATTGGTCTCTCTGGTGCCCAAGTATGGAGGTGACTGTAGGAAGAACCTTGTAATTTTTGTGGCTGTAGGACACCAACAGTCTGAATCCCACCTGTTTGCAATGGAGCAGCCAACTGCCCCATAATACAGATGGACTTAAATTGTGATCTTACTGTTACAATCCAGTGGGACAGTGTTTGTCTCAGATTTGTTACTTAATAATAAATATGTAATGGAGGGAAAGAAAGAGAAATTCCTGCCTTTGTTAAATGCTTCACCATTTGAACCCCGGGTCTTGGGGACAATACTAGCTTTGTTACAGCTTTGAAATCCAAAGCTTTATTGATCGTATTTAAACATATGTGGATTTGAATCATCTCATGCAGAATACGGAAGATTGGCCCTGATTACCCAGAATCCTTTCCCCTTCATTATCCACCCCGTCCCCAAACTGCTACATGGGGCGAAGTGATGGATTTGAAGTGCATCCAAGGACCTTGCAACCAGACCTGCTTTGCTTCATTGGCAAGGAATAGGCTTGGGTAATGCACAGACAGGTGTGCAAACACTGTCAAAAGCAGATTCACGTTTCCACCCAAAATTTGTTTCCCTGCAGAGCTTGCAGTTTTCCACTGGGCCAACATCGATTTATTTCTGTGTTTCAACCCAAGCACACAAGCCATCATGGCTCCATTCTGTTTACTTCCTTGACTGCCGTGCTCTAGCCTTACCTACAAAGGTCAGCAGGAAAACACCCCATTCTGGGAGTGGAAATGCTTATTTACCAATGCTACAGAGTAGGGAGTATACAAGCAAAGATATTCTGGGCCAAATTTTCAAAAGAGCTTCATCTCAGCCTTTACATTTGAGCCCACATCATTTGCAGATACAAAGTAACAATTTTGACAGCTAGCTGGTTTGTGGGAATTACGGGCATCTTCAATAGATTTGATTAATAGATTATAAAGCCAGAAGGGAGCACTGTGCTCACCTAGTCTGACCTCCTGTATAGCACAGGCCACAGGACTTCCCTGAAATAAATTCCGGTTTGAACTAGAGCAGGGGCATACGCAAGAATTTAAATTTCACTGCTTTTGGAGGGTCACATTCTGTGCCCCCGCTGAGGCCCTGGGGTCAGAGGAACTCGCTGTCCCCTGCTCCAGCCCTGGGGCCAGAAGAGTTTTGTGTTCCCGCCCCACACTGATTATTGTGGGGTCCAAGGCCCTGCTTGCCCCCACTTGTGCACACCCCTGAACTGGAGCAGATCCTTCAGAAAAATATCTGATCTTGATTTATGGAGAATCCCCCACCACCCGTGTTAGATTGTTCCAGTGGTTACTTACCCTCGCTGTGGAATGTTTGTGCTTCACTTATGCATGACTGTACATGCACAATGGCAGTCGTGGACTGATTTTCAGATGTGCTAAGCACTCGTAAGGCCATGGAAAGCCAGCGAGGGCTCTGTGAGTAAGTTTACACTGCAGCTGGGAGTGAGCCTCGTTAGACTCCTGCTAACTGGGCTCAAGCTAGCATACTAACGCTATAGCTCGGCTGCAGCTCAGGCTCTCAAGCCCACTCAACCCCCTGCGTCTGGGCTCGGGTGGCTAGCCCGAGTCTCTGCCAGAGCCACAACCGTAGCTCCAGCCCAGTGAGCGTGAGTCTGCATACCCAGGCTGGCAGGCTCGCCCTCCCCTGCAATGTAGACTTACCCTGTGTTCCCAGCATCTCTGACAGTGAGGCCCAGGGAGGCTGTTGGAGCCTTTGGCTCCCCCCAGCAAACACAGTGCTTATCCTTTTACATTTTTAAAAGCTTCTTATCTTAGAGATGGGATGATGGTTTTTAAAGACACAGAATCTGAAGGAAATTTCCGAGGCAAAGTATAACAATTTTATAATGGGGCAAATCTAAGGTTTGCCTTGCTTCCTGCTCCTTCAGATGAAGCATCTGCCCCACTCTAGGATCATTTGATCCTGTGGGCTCTGGGGTTTTTGGTGGTTTCCAGGGGACATCTAGAAGTGGCTAGGGAAAACCTGGTACTTTAGACTAACATGCACATTCAAGATTTGTGCTTTAAGGAGCCACTGCAGCAACAGAAAGGGATTTCTCTGAGAGCTGCTATTACACATGTAACTGGAAACCTTTTCTTTTTTTGGCTCACCGCTAAATGCTGAGTTTGCACCAAAGATCCTATTGAAAAGAGAAACCTGTTAGACAAGAATACATTTTTGTGTTAAGTAGCCAATCAGTTTTTCAAACTGATATTAAGGCGGACAAAGGACGCTGGTATTCCCAGGAGGAAGGGATCATCAGAGGGTAACCCTTTCCCTTCGTGTACAACGGGAAAGCTTCCCCATGTGTCTTCAAGAATAGCTTGAGAAACATTCGGCAAGATTCTAAAGCTGGCCACAATTGACACAGTCCCTGTTGTGCGAAGGGTTCAGTTCATCAGCTTTTCCCAGTTCCACGGGGGTTCACTTGCTGTCAACTTTACATTGTGCCTGATCCAATCTGCAGGGGGGCTAGAGCAATGTTTATAGTGGGGGTGCTGAGAGCCACTGAACCGAACTGTAAACCCTGCATATAATGGAAACCCCTTCAAGCCGGGTGTGCGGCAGCCCCCTTAGTTCCAGCACCTGGGCCAATTCACACAGTATGTGGCATTGTTAAAAACACAGTCTCTTCAAGAAGCCCTGTTTGATGCAGAGTCACATATTCACGGGCAGAGGCGGGGGGGGGGGGAGTGGAATTCTGTGGCAGATACTTAGGGACCAGCGGGGATAAGAGCAGGAGTAGATTAAAGGCAGGATCCCTGGGATCTAGGCCCCATGTTCCTAGGTGAGGCCCAGATAGACCAGTGAGTCAGAGAAGCAGCAACCCTGCAGAGCACAGCTGATTACAGAAGGCAAAGCGAGTTGGCCTGCTTGGGGGAGCACCCAGGGGTCGAAGAGACAATTCCATAGGGCGAGGGAGAATGAGGCATGAAGAGAAATTCACTTCTCAATGTGGAAGAAAGAAGCGAAATGTTGGTATAACCAGCTCCCCTCTAACCTCAATCCACCCTGAGCCAGGAGACACTGTTCACAAAGGGCCAGCCCAAGGTCTATGGCCCACTGAAGTCCCATTTGAGCTTTATAGGGAGGCCTTTGGGGCTGAAGTGGGGTTTCTGTGGTGGTGGAGACCTTATGCTGGCCTCTAAAGCATGGGCAGAGCCTTGCTTTCTTTTGAGGACAAGAGGCAGACGCTTAAAGATCAAAGAGACCTAAAAAAGGTTGGAAAAAATGGTTTAACCTGCAGGAGCAAGGTCATTACTTCAGATATGCCTGACCTAGAGACAGGGGCAGAGTGCTATTTTACAGGGATGAGACATGCATAGCAGGGGATTCTTACGGGAGAATCTGCCTTCCCTGACCTTGAAGGGGAAGAGATAAGCAAGGAGCACACTCCTCAATCACCCCCTGTGCTGCGAGCGGCCCCTTTGAGATGCGGCATAAATCATGAAATAACAACCCCACGGCTCCACAACAAGGCCCCGGGGGCGGTGCTGCCGGAGGCATCTGGAATGGCCCCTGGAAGATGCAGATTGGGTGTGTGCCTGACCCAAAGTGGCATATCCTCTCCTTCGCCCCAGGGTGCGATCCAGAACAACAAGCAGCCTGCCAGCCTCCGCGCCAGCCTGCTGAGCTCCAGAGCTGCGTTGCGTTTGCAGAGGGTTTTGTGCCGGTCACATGCATCATCATTAAGTTCCACTTATGGGGAGGCTAGAGCCAATGCAGCCTCGCCCCGTATCTCCACTCCAGTCTCCGGGGCATTTCCCCAGCCCCTGGCTTTCCTCCCCTCCAGCCGACACTCTGCCCGCCTCCCCCAAGGTGATGCAGCGCTTTTTGTGCGCATCTCTGGTGCCTTGCGCTCACCTGAGTTTGCTCAGCGGGGCCCGCCGGATCTTCTCGGCAATTCCTCCCGGGGGGTGCAGAACCACTGCAGCAGGCAGCCGGCTAGCTCAGCAACCTAGCAGCGGGGAACACAGAGGCAAGGGTAACCCCCCAGAACCAGCCCCCCAGGCCCTGCCCCTCCCAAACCTCAGCCCCGGCTGGGAGGGATGGGCAGTTTCCTGCACCTATTCCGGGCGCACAGACAGACCCCCCCCCCCCCAGCTCACAGCGGGGCGACCTGCAGGAGCTGTCCACCCCCTCCCATCCGCTCCGCAGCCTAACCCCCTGCAAAGCACCGTCCATTTCCCGTGCCGGCCGGGGGAACGGGAGCTCTGCCTCCATCACCTGCTTCCGCGGCCATGCTGCTGCCTCGCCGGGATGCTCCTGCGCGGCCGGCGGGGCGCTGGGGCTGGGGCCGCGGGGAGGGATGCTCACGGATGGGAGGCAGCGCCTGCCTTCGCTCACATGCTGCGGCGTAGCTGCCGCTCGCCTCTTAAAGAGACAGCGGGCACTGGGCAGCGGCAAGGGCGTCCCCGCCCCGGCGGGCTTTTCCTGCCCCCGTAATGGGCGGTTTTTGCAAAGTTTACAGCAGACCTCCCCCCACCCCCCGCTCCCAGCGATCAGTGGGTCCAAAGCGCTCCAGCCAGGCGTGTTAGGGGGCTCTTTCCTTGAATGACTAAATCCGCTCCACTCCGGCATGATGGGCCACGTTCATTCCTGGTCCCACTCCGGGCGTCAGTGCCGTGAGGCCAGGACACGCCTACGGACACATCTCATCTAACCGCATTGAGTTACCTGCCTGGTTTCTCAGTCCCGCTGTAATTCACACCACCTCACGGTGTTCCGTGTCAAGGGGGAGGCGGAGGGTTAATAAACTGCAGCAGGAGAGAAAGGACAAGAAACTCCATGAATCGCCCAATGGCTTGCACAGCGTGTGAAGGCTGCCACAAAACAAAGAAGAAGGAAAAAAAAAAAAACCCCAGGAAATGTCACACAAGCAATAATAGTTTCTATAGCAACATGCATCCCATCCAGACAGATTTCCCCAAAGCACTTTACAGTCTCTAGGGCAGATTCTGATCTCAGGCACCATTCGTGTAAATCTGGCGTAACTCCAGTGCAGGCGATAGTTACTCCAAATTGACAGCACTGTAATCGGTCAGAATTTGGCCCTTCTTCACACCAAAATATGTCATTCTAACTGGAAATCAATAGACATGGCTTCATTCTCCTCTCACACTGGCTAAATGAGGAGTAACTGCAACAAAGTCAATAGAAGTGTATTGGTGTAAAATTGATGGAGAAGAGAGGAGAATCGGACCCAGAAGAGTCAAACAGGGAGATACAGTGACAGTTCATTTGATGGCAGGTGTTTAAGGTATTTGGGATTCTATTTTGTATTTCCTGACTATTCAATCTGTTTGTGACTAGATACTGTGGAAAATCTGTAAAGTGCTTTGAGAGACTTTTGGATGAAAGGTGCTGTCGTTTTAGTCTATAAAGACCTAATCCTGCAAAGACTTGTGTACATACTTAACTTTGTGCAGCATTTGTCAAGCATGTGCAAAAATCACAGCTCAATACATACATATGGCTCACTCACACAGGACAGAAATGCAGCCAATCTCTGGACTGCAATTTACAAAATATATAGCTACAAACACTAACAAACATTAACTAACAAAATAAAAGTTTATCCTTAGTAATGGAAACACACACATTTATGTGTGTACAGCTTTTTAAGAGTCTCTGGATGTCCCCTCAATACATTAGTAAAACATTTAATGGGAAACATCCATTCAGACTCTTAATCCATATTGACAGGTTTCAGAGTAACAGCCGTGTTAGTCTGTATTCGCAGAAAGAAAAGGAGGACTTGTGGCACCTTAGAGACTAACCAATTTATTTGAGCATAAGCTTTCATGAGCTACAGATGTATATATGTATATATATATAGATGTATATATAGATCTTCTTACTATATGTTCCATTCTATGCATCCGATGAAGTGAGCTGTAGCTCACGAAAGCTTATGCTCAAATAAATTGGTTAGTCTCTAAGGTGCCACAAGTACTCCTTTTCTTAATCCATATTGACACTCAAGGCAGAGATTCCCTTGTGCAACATATCTTGATACAGGTTTCAGAGTAGCAGCCGTGTCAGTCTGTATCCGCAAAAAGAACAGGAGGACTTGTGGCACCTTAGAGATGAACAAATGTATGAGAGCATAAGCTTTCGTGGGCTACAGCCCACTTCATCGGATGCATAGAATAGAACATACAGTAAGAAGATCTATATATATATACAGATAAGTTGGAAGTTGCCATACAAACTGTGAAAGTCTAATTAGTTAAGATGAGCTATTACCAGCAGGAGAAAAAAACTTTTGTCGTGATAATCAAGATGGCCCATTTAGATAGTTGACAAGAAGGCGTGAGGATACTTAACTAGGGAAATAAATTTACTCTTGCTGGTCATACTACGACTCATACATTTTCTTTGATATCTATTTAATATAACTTCTTCTACATTATTTAAAATACAAACATCTAGATTAAATAAACCAAACTCATGGCTCAAATATATGGCTCAAAGCCTTTGCAGAAGGTTTCTGGGGAGGGCTGCCTTATTTCGTCCTCCATGGTAGGACACTTTGCCACGCTGAGCCAGTAGCAAGTAGTCTGGAATCATTGCAGCACAAAGCATGGCAGCGAATGGTCCTGGGTTTTGATTGCATTCAAGCAACATTCAGTCTTTATCTTTCTGTGTTAGCCTCAGGAGAGTGATATCATTCACGGTCACCTGGTTGAAATAGGGGAATTTTTGTAAGAGAACAGTAAAAGGACCCCATTCACTCAGGGTTGTTTGCGCTTGGCTAAAAGGAAAAGGAGTACTTGTGGCACCTTAGAGACTAACAAATTTATTTGAGCATAAGCTTTCGTGAGCTACAGCTCACTTCATCAGGATCATCCTGGAGAACAGCCGTGCGGCGGGGGGAGGGGTGAAGGGACCATCCCAGAGAATAGCCACGTGGTGGGGTGGGAGGAGGTGGGTGCTGCACATCCACCCGAAAACTGCAGCCCCTCCTTTAAATGTGAAACCCAACTGGCATTGCTTGCTATGGGAAAGGATGGCAATGTAGTTTGAAACCATTCCCACATGTTATGAAGGCATAAGAAGCCAACCCTGCATACCAAAAGGCTTACCATGGCTGCCTGGAAACTGAATTCTGTTGCCCAGCCATTTGTGATGTGTCACCATACTGGCAGGTGCTCAATATAAAAGGCAAAATGTGACCTTGTACCTAAAGCACATATGCTGTCTGCTGTGAATTGCTTGATTCACTGTGAAAGAGTCTCCCTTTTGTTCTCAGAAATGTATCATCTTAAATTTTACTCTCCCTTTTTATCTCCCCCCAGGTGCAAATGTCTCTATGCTCCCCTTATCATCTCCATCCCTGAGGTTATCGCAGATTAGAAGGCGAAAAAAAAAAGCACTTGTGATGACATTTTTTACGACAGCATTTCATGCAGTCCTCCTGCACTGATAGAGCACAGCTTAATGCATGGAGGCATTCAGTGGCAGAGGCCAGGAAAGTATTAAGTGAGCGCGAAGAGCAGAGGCAGGAGGCGATGCTGAGGCTAATGGGGGAGCAAATGGACATGATGAAGCATCTGTTGGAGCTGCAGGAAAGCCACAAGAGCACAGACCCCCACTGCATCCATTGTATAACCACCTGCCCTCCTCCCCAAGTTCCATATCCTCCTCACCCAGACACCCAAGAATGTGGGGGCAGGAGGCTCCGGGCACTGAGCCACTCCACTCCAGAGGATGGCCCAAGCAACAGAAGGCTGTCATTCAAACAGTTTTGATTTGTAGTGTGGCTACAATAAACAATGTGGCCTTGTCCTTCCCTCCTCCTGCACCCCAACCCACCCAGGATACCTTGTCAGTTATCTCACTTTTTTTTTTTTAATTAATAAAGAAAGAATGTATGGTTTCAAAACAGCAGTTACTTTATTTCCTTTGCCAGCTGTGATCGAGGGCGGGAGGGTGGTTGGCTTACAGAGAATTAAAATCAACAAAGGGGGTGGGTTTGCAGCAAGGAGAAACACATACAACTGTCACACCGTAGCCTGGCCAGTCATGAAACTGGTTTTCAAAGCCTCTCTGATGTGCAGCACACCTAGCTGTGCTCTTCTAATATCCTGGTGTCTAGCTGCTCAAAATTGGCTGCCAGGCGATTTGCCTCAACCTCCCACCCTACCATAAACATCTCCCGCTCACTCTCACAGATATTATGGAGCACACAGCAAGCAGCAATAACAATGGGAATGTTAGTTGCGCTGAGGTCTAGCCTAGTCAGCAAACAGCACCAGCAAGCTTTTAAACATCCAAAGGCAAATTCTACCACCATTCTGCACTTGCTCAGCCTATAGCTGAACTGCTCCTTACTACTGTCCAAGTTGCCTGTGTACAGCTTCATGAGCCATGGGAGCAAGGGGTAGGCTGGGTCCCCAAGCATAACTATTGGCATTTCAACATCCCCAACAGTAATTTTCTGGTCTGGGAAGTAAGTCCCTTCTTGCTACTGCTCAAACAGCCCGGAGTTCCTAAAGATGCAAGCGTCATGCACCTTTCCCGGCCATCCCACGTTCATGTCGGTGAAATGTCCCTTGTGATCCACCAGTGCTTGCAGCACCATTGAGAAGTATCCCTTGCGGTTTACGTACTGGTTGACAAGGTGGTCCAGTCCCAAGATAGGGATATGTGTTCTGTCTACCACCGCACCACAGTTAGGGAACCCCACTGCAGCAAAGCCATCCAGGATGACCTGCACATTTTCCAGAGTCACTATCCTTGATAGCAGAACATCAGTGATTGCATTGGCTACTTGGATCACAGCAGTCCCCACAGTAGACTTGCCCACTCCAAATTGATTCCCAACTGACTGGTAGCAGTCAGGCATTGCAAGCTTCCACAGGGCTATTGCCACTCACTTCTCAACTGTCAGGGCAGCTCTCATCTCTTGGTATTCCTGAGCTTCAGGGCGGGGGAAAGCAACTCGCAAAGTTCCAGGAAAGTGGCCTTACTCATGCAAAAAAGTTTCGCAGCCACTGTGAATCATCCCATACCTGCAACACTATGCGGTCCCACTAGTCTGTGCTTGTTTGCCAGGCCCAGAATCGGCGTTCCACTGTATCAACCAGCTCCACTGCCGCCATGATGTCCCAATTGCCACAGCCCATGCTTTCAGGAACGACTGTGTCCATGTCCTCATCACAATTGCCCTCGTGCTGGCGTCCCTTAGCCTGGTTCTGCACATACTCCAGGATAATGCGTGAGGTGTTTACAATGCTCACAACAGCAGCGGTGAACTGAGTGGGCTCCATGCTTGCCGCAGTATGGCATCTGCACAGGTAACCCAGGAAAAAAGGCGTGAAATGATTGTCTGCCGTTGCT